CATTCACCCTTAGCCCCAGGCCCCGGGGACCTGCTCTGCCATTCACCCTTAGCCCCAGACCAGCACTCTACACAGCAGTGCTGGCCTGGCATTGTCCCTCTAGAGGGCTGTGGTGTGTGAAACCCCACACCAAGAAAGTGCCATTCAAGGGGCTGGGAACCAAGGCCAGGAGGGATCGTTGTGATCATCCAGTCTGATCCCTGCATAGCGCAGGCCAGAGACCTGCCTCAATACAATCCCTGTTAACAACGTGCACCTTATTCCGTCTGGCTTCAACTCCCAGCCATTCATGTCAGACCTTCCTCTGCTAGCCTGAGAAGCCCGTTATTAAATATTTGTTCCCCGTGTAAGTACCTATGTCATCAAGTCCCCTCGTAACCTTCTCTTTGCTAAGATAAATAGATTTGAGCTCCTGGAATCTACCACGATAAGGCAGGTTTTCTAACCCTCTAGAGAGAAAACACCCACACCCACACACACCCCCCCTCTTGATAACAAATGGTCATTTGTTTTCTCAGCACATTTTGCCAGCCAGTCTTTGTAATCTGTTTCCTTTAGCCACTGACAGTGCGGTTTCTGATGCAAGTCTTTCTTTTTGGGGGGTGTCCTGGGACCACTCCTACCATCACCCAGATCTTCCCATTATTTAATATGCATCGCACGTCTCCTCACTCTTGTGTGACTCAGACTCTCTCTCACACACTCGCGCGGTGCACTTACGTGTTGGTGGGCAGACAGCTGCTGTATGTTCAACAGTTTTGATCTGTTGTTGCTGAACCTCGGTAGTGGGAACACTGCAGCATCTTTAGCGGGACACACAAACTTTTAACATTAGCTATCCCAGTGTACTGGGATAATCATGCAAATCTTTAGACCCACATAAAAAAAAGTGCAGATTTTAATTTTTCTGGCAAATCTGTAAAAAACCCAGCCAGGCCAGTCAAATACCACCCAGGTGGTAACCCTACCTGGAGCAGATGACCCCCCCCCTGCACAGGGAGAGGAGTGTGGCTGCCCAAGGAAGAACCCAGGCTCCTGGAGCAGGTGTTCTCAGGACCCTGCTCTCTCACTGGCCATTGCTAGCATGATGGCCCCCACCAGGGACTGAAGCGGGGGCCTCCAGGGTGAAAAGCAGGAGCTGCTACAGCTCCCAGGCTGGGCTACAGCAGGTTCTTCTTGCCGGGGGGTCAGGCCCAAGGGGATCCACCCTGAGCAGTGGGTCACACAAGGCCATCTCCTGCCAGGCTGAGTCTGTGGCACGGCCCGTTGCCCAGAGTCTCTTTGCTCCCCCCCCCCAGCTCAGGACATTGACAGGGCGATGAGGATGGATTGATGAGCGCCCACTCACTGCTCCAGCGGAGGCTGGAGCCACAGCTGCTTACACAGGGTGTCCTGGGAGCTGCGGTTTGGATGAGTAACTTCCCAGGCTTCCAGCCACGAGCCCCGGAGGGGGAGAGAGAGAAATGGAAAAACAAACCCACCCCCAGCCTCTGGGCAACATGTTGGCGGTGTTTGCATTTATCTCTACTCCAGCCCAGCAGCGTCCAGGGCCTTCTCCCCAGGTGAAGGTCAAACCCTGGGGGAGCCCCCCACTCCCCGGATCAATGGACCAGGCTGGAAATTCTCCGTGAACCATCTGGAAGGGGTCCATCCCTCTGGCATCAGAGCATGAGCGCACAAAGCCACCACATCACCCCTCTGCAAAGAGCTCAGAGGGTTAGCCTCCCTGTTTGAGAGGGGAAACTGAGGCACTAGTGTGAAAGCCTGCAGGGGGTGCCATCTAGACGAGTGACATTGTGGGGGATTTTAATTGCAGGTGCCTAGGATCCCAAACTGGCCTTCACAGGGCTCGCAGGGAGAGGCCCCAGGTCAAGCCACCGCTCGTCTGTTGTGGGCATTTTGGGGCTGTTTCCTCGAGCCCTGCTGCGTCGCTTGTCAAATCCTCTTTCCGGAGAAGTCCCTGGGCGCCAGTTGCCTCTATGGTTGTAGTCACATAAGCAAGTAATGAGAGAGCATGGCATGCACGGACCCCTTTGGCGAGCTGCCCGTGCAG